TGAGGCAGGTGGATTGCCTGAGCTCACGAATTCGAGACCAGCCTGAGCCAAAGCGAGACCCAAAACCAGCCAGGTGTTGTGGTGTGCACCTGTAGTCCCAGCTACTAAGAGGACTGCTTAAACCCAAAAGTTTCAGGTTGCTGTGAACTAAGACACCACACCATTCTACCAAGGGTGATCAAGTGAGACTCTGTCTCAGTTGAAAAAAAAAAATCTCAACACAAAAATTAGAATAGTTTAAAAAAAAAGTTATATTAAAAAAAAGAATTTAAAAAAGGTTATATAAAAAAAGAATATAGATGCAAAAAATTCTTAATGAATTATTAGCAGACTAAATCTAGGAACATATAAAAAGGATTATATACTGACCAAGTGGGATTTGCCCCAGGAATGCAAGGTTAGATTAGCATCCAAAAATAAATTTATATACTGTACCATACCAATAGAATAAAGGACAAAACCGTATGATCGTCTCAATAGGCACAGAAAATGTTTTCACGAGTTTCACTCCTAAGTAAAGAAACACATTCCACATTCATGGATCAGAGAATATAATATTGTTAAATGGCAATACTCCCCAAATATCCAAGAGAAATAAAAACCAGTGTCCATACAAATATTGGTACATGGATGCTCATAACAATGTTATTCATACCTCAAAAACCCACGCATCTATCAACTGATGAACAGATAAATAAAATGTAGTATATCTATGCAATAGATTATTCAACAGTAAAAAGGAACAAAATATTGATTTATACAATAACATGGATGAGTCTTGGAAACATGCTAAGTGAAAGAAACCAGTTATAAACAACTGCTTATTACATGGTTCCGTTTATACGGAATATCCAGAATAGGCAAATCTACAGCTACAGAAAGTAGGCAGTGGTTGCCTAGGGGATGCTGGTAGAAATCGGGGAGTGACTACTAATAGGTATGGGGGTATTTCATTTTTGGGAAAAGAAAATATTCTAGATTGTTAGTGGTAATGCTTGTATAATTCTTGTAATACACAAAAAAAACCATTGAGGCTCGGTGTCTGTAGCTCAAGCGGCAAAGGCGCCAGCCACGTACATCAGAGCTGGTGGGTTCAAATCCAGCTTGGGCCCGCCAAACAACAATGACAACTACAACCAAAAAATAGCCAGGCGTTGTGGCGGCCGCCTGTAGTCCCAGCTACTTGGGAGGCTGAGGCAAGAGAATCGCTTAAGCCCAGGAATTGGAGGTTGCTGTGAGCTGTGATGCCATGACACTACTGAGGGAGATAGCTTGAGCCTCTGTCTCAAAAAAAAAAAAAAAAAAACCATTGAATTGTACACTTTCAACGGGTGATTTGTTTGATTATAAACTGTTTCCAAAAATGGTTACAGGTTGAATATCCATAATCTGAAATTTTGAAATTCATAAAGCTCCATAAATTTGATAATCAGCATGATGCTTTAGGATCTTGGGTTTTCAAGATTAGGGATGTTCATTATACTTAGTAAAGTATAATGCAAATATTCCAAAACACAAAAAGATCTGAAATTTGGAACGTTTCTGGTCCTATTCAATTTGAATAAAGGAACGTACAGCCTGTATAAAAATAAAATCAGTGTGAATAAGGAAGAAACTGTAGAAGGGAGTGATTTCTGGGATTTCTCTCTTCAGTATAATATTTCTGCACTTAAAAACCTTACTCAGGAAAATCTTACTTTCCTTATTGAAGAAATCTAGACCCCTGGGGAAAGAGTATTCCCATTTCAGAAAAGCATAGTCTTTGAGAAGCAGTGTATTGAGAGAAGAACTTAATCACATTTAACCAATATTGTTAGCATTATAATTTGGAGACTTGTCTAAGTATCACTTAATTTATATAATGTGTTCTTTTGTAGATGAAGAAGATAAGGATAGTTTACAGGAACTTGGTACAGAACAGAAATGCTTTGTTGAACACATCCTTTGTACAAAGCCATTGCCATGCAGGTAAAGACTTTCTCTCCCTCATACACACAAAACAGTTAATTCATTTCAGTAATTCAGATGCATATATACATCTTATGCTCACATACACACAATTAGTTGCAATCATTTGCAAGTTAGTTGCAGACATGATTCTTCTTCCTTCGGAAGTATCCTGTTTATCAGAAGCTTTCTCCCACTGTAGCACCACTGCACATACTGTTTCCTCTGTCTGGAAAGTATTTCCCCCAGCCCTACCCCTAGCTTGCTGTCTTCTCCTGGCTAACTCTTGCTCTTCTTTCTGATCTTATATCACTTCAAAGATAGTGCCTTTGATTCACAGTCTTAGGGTTTTTCTTGGGGGGCGGGGGGTTGTAGCACATATTATAATTTGTATTTGTGTTGGTTCAGTATCTGTCATCACTGCTAGAATATGTTTCACTGGAGCAGAGACTGTGTCTGTCCTTCACTGTGTTGGTGGGCTTACTTAATGCTGTTGCTCACTCCTCCTCTTTGAAATGGTCTTCTCCTTGGCATCCTTGACTTCCCTCCCTGCAGCTTCTCCTTCAGTTTCTCTGGCAATCCTTTTCTCAAGTTTCTTTGCTGAGCCAAGCTTCTCTACTCATTCTGGGCCCTTTCCTGAGTAACCCTTGCCATAATCACAGTTGCAGTGCTGACAATTCCACATCCGAACCATCCTCACCCAGACCACTCCAGACTCAAGACCTACATATCCAACTGCCCATTAAGCTTCTGCACTTAAATGTCCTGTAGGAACAGAAAATGCCAGATGTCCCCATTGACTTATCTTCTGTCTTCCCCCAAGTCTGCTTTCTCCTATGTCACGTTTTTCTGAAGGGCACCACATCTATCCAGTTATCCCCAGAAGAAACCTGGTAGTCATTCTAGACACCTCCCTTCATTCTATTCATCGCTTACTGAAAGTCTGTGCAGCGCCGTGTTAGACACTGCAGACACTAAGGAATAGACACAGCCGCAAGGGAAATATCTGTGGTGGTGGTGGTGGTGGTGGTGGTGGGGAACAGCAAACTATAACATGTTAAAAAATGAGCAGGGAAAATATATAATAAAATCCCATTTGTATCAATTTCAGAAAGAGGAAAAATTAAACAGTCTTGCTTAGGAATGAATATATTAACAGGAGGACTGTAGAGCAAAGCAAGGACATGCTGTCATAAAGGCCAGAGTAGTGATTACTTCTATGGGGAGTGAAAGACTGTGATCAACAGTAGGAAGCCTGAGGCCACTACAGTCTCCTACTTCGTGACCTGGGTAATCCTGGCTACGTAGTGTACATACACAGTAGTATATAGACTTTACACTAATAATGAAAACAAAAATTTTAGTACCTCCCAAATCCCTCCACCTTCAAAGGAAAGATGAATGGGAAGTATAGAAGCGTACTGTTTACAGACTAATGGTTCTAAAGGGACTAAGAATAGATGAGGAAAACTGGCCATTTTGAGACATGAGCTTACATACAAGAGACATGCGCTTCTTGGTAAGATGAGGGGAAGTAGACAATAAATGACACAGTTGATGGTACAGTCTTCAGAAGGTATGAGAGGGGGTGACATTCAAGGGCAGAAAAGTGCTGTGGATGTGGAGATGGTATGGCCCCAGGGCCCAGTAGGGGAGCATATTGGGAAGATAGATGCCATCTGAGAGCCACAGTTTGCAGTTTCTCCAGTGATGTATGAAGGAAGATTGAGAGGGAGATTATGGCAGTTTGTTCATTTAACAGTTGCTGAGCACTGTTATACACTGGGCTAGGCACACAATGATAGCTAGAGCTTGTGTGTGAGTTGGGAAGAGAGACATAAAAAATGGCCTTCAGTGTTGACATGTAACTGCTGACACTGCAGTGAGTACCACTATGGTCATCAATTCCTGAGTGACTTACTCACATGCAGAGTTGCTTTACAGTTTCCAAGTCACTTCTGGAGTTATTGCACAGGTCAATAGTAACCTGAGAAGGCCACAGACCTCAGTCATGTCTTTGCTCTTGGTTTCATCGCATTTGCTGCTTTATTGTTTAACTCTGTGTGTTTTTCCAGGCAGCCAGCTCCAATTCGAGGATTCTGGATTGTCCCTGACATTCTGGGGCCCACAATGATCTGCATTACCAGTACCTACGAATGCCTTATAAGGCCTTTATTGTATGTATCATTTTGTTTTCTCCACATAGCTCTAATTAATTCTGTAGAATTTAGAGTGAGACCCTGTCTTTATTAAAATTGAAAAACTAATGAGATACTGTGGCAAGTGCCTGTAGTCCCAGCTACGCAGGAAGCTGAGGCAACTGGATCACTTGAGTCTAAGGGTTTGAGCTTGCTGTGAGCTATGAGGATGCCATGGCACTCTATTCAGGGTGACAGAGTGAGGCTCGGTCTCAAACAAAAAACATTCTGTAGAATTTAAGCTAGAAAAATGCCCTTGGTACATATCAAATTCCATTTTTCATATGTGAATTAGATTGAACGATCATCAAGCTCTGTGTGTCAGACTCAGAAACCATTTACCCACATTGCCTCCTGGATTCATCCCAGCAGCCTGTAAGGAAAGCACATTATCCCTGTTTTGTAGAAGAGGAAACAGCATTAACAGAGGTTAAGAAAAATGCTGAAGTCACATAGCTAAGATGCAGGTCTGACCAACTCAAAAGTCCATACTCACACTTCTTAATTTCTCCATCTCTGCCAGCTTCAGGGAGACATCATAAAATATATAAACTCTGAAAGAAAAGTAGTATAAAGCTGAACTCCTAGTCCTTGTTTCCCTTAAAGAACTCATACTAAGTTATAATCACCATTTACCTTTTCTAACAGCTCTGGGAGGCCATTCTAAGTTATATAAATTTAAGAATGGAAATACCAAAACCAGCACCATCAAACCCTAGAACTATGCAGTTATCAGTTTTATGTTATTTATAAGACACTAAGTACTCTAGCAAGATTAAAGAAAAATAATAAAATCACAGGGAAGCAGGGTACAGTGGCTCACACCTGTAATCATAGTAACTCTTAAGCGGCTGAGGCAAGTGAGAGGCCTGAGATCAGGAGTCCAAGAATAGCCTAACCAAAAGTGAGACCCCATCTCTACTAAAAATAGAAAAAAACTAGCCAGGCATGGTGGCACTTACCATAGTCCCACCTCATAAGGCTGAGGCAAGAGTATCACTTGAACCCAGAAGTTTGAAGTTGCTGTCAGCTACAATGACATCATAGCACTTTACCCAGAGCTACAGAGTAAGACTCAGTCTCCCTCCACCCCGCCAAAAAAAAAATCAAGGGACAAAACTTATTTGCTGGTTGCCTCAGCATATTTTAAAAACCCACACTACCTTTAATAAAATAAAACTTAGTTACACTAGGTTACTTCAGAATAAAAGTATGAATCCCAAGGGGGAAAAAAACTCTTAATATTTCTGCCCAACTCCTTGAAATACAAGTTGTCTACGAAGTAAGTTTACTGTTTAACCCTTCCAAATGTGAATCATTGCCTTCAGAGTAAGTCACTTACCAATGCTGCCAAGTTTAGGAGACCTTTCAAGCTCTTTCTAAAATTGCATTTTTGAATATTTGCATTTGTGTGGATGACATTTTTGGAAATCAAGTTACGAAGAATCAAATATGACATACATAGTATTTATCTTAATATTGGTTTTGATCAAATAGAAACTATACCTAGAAAAGAAA